GAAGTAGTACTTAACCAGTGGAGAACGGCGGCATGGCTACATAACAGGCATCTGGGATCAAGTGGTTCTCAGAATTGTCTGACCCATAGGAAACTTTGATGATGGCTAACCTGAGGTACTCAGGGCCAAAATACATAGACAGCCCACTAAGGTTCTACTCAACTATAAAACTAGAAGAAAAAAAATTTTTACGCGTATGGAGAGTCCTGACTTAATCTATTCCAGTGAAGAGTCATGCCCCTCACCCTTTTTCCATTTCTGAGTCAGTTTAATGACCCAGCACCCCTTAAATGAATGAGAGATCGGGGACCCTGGGGAAGAACCCTGTGGTAACTTATATATATATACACACACAAAACTCTTATTCCTCCTGTTTCCCAAGAAGACTCAGGCCTATTTACCATGGTAACTGAGCACCAGGGAAGACAAACATCCAGATCTCTTAGGAATGATTAGTTACTGGCTCTGAAGCAGTTAATCCCTGAGAAAACTGAATTACAGTTGTCCCCAAGTCAGGATGGGATTTATGAGAGCTAAGTGACAACGTTTGGGCTAGCATTCTTCTCACAGTGGCCCAATGAGTCTTATATCCATTCTGTGTTTATTTTCCTAGTTCTGGAGTTCATAGTAGAAGTAGAAATATTCAGCTACTGGTAGAAAAATAAACATTGTTCTCTGCCCCACGGAATAATTTCTATTATGGTAGAAAGGGTCAAGCCTAAGTCCTTGGAGATTCCTCTCCCTATCAAAGTTATAAACTAAGGACAATATCAGATTCCTTTGGAATTGTGGTGATAGGGTACCATAAAACACTTGAAATACTTGTAAGTAGTCATGCTTATCACATATCCATTTCACTCACCTGTTTAGTGTGTGTCTTGGAGAATTTTATTGGATTACCATAAGCTTAATCAGGCAGTAATTTCAATTAGAGTTGGTGATTCTCTTTACTGGAGAAAAATTAGCCCAGCACCTCATACCTGGAAGGTTGCAATTGATCTTGAAATTGCCTTTTTTTCTATCTCCTAATAAGCAGATAATACTAGAGGCAATTGCTTTTACCTGGAAGGATCAGTTATTTATCTCTATTTTCTTGGCTCAAGGTGGTCATAATTTGGTTCCTATGGACGTGAGTATCTCACCATCTTACTGAATATTACTTTGATCCAATATATTAATGACATTCATTCTGATAGGACCAGAGAGCAGGAAATAGCAGGTATTCTCTACTTTCTGATGAGATACATGCCTGCTGAAAGGTGGTTGTGAAAACCCACAAGAATTCCATTGTGTTCCCTCATGGAAATGTTTGGGAATCTAAAGCCCTGGGGAACATTAGCTGACACCTTCAAAATGAAAAACAAGTTGTAAAATGAAAAACACCCTGAATTCCTACCTTTAAGAAAAAGCAATGCATGACAGATTATTCTGGTTTTTTGGGGCAAAATATGCTGCATTTACTTAATAACCTTCTCTAGTAAACTGTAAGGGGGCCAGACTTCAAACGAACTGCAGAATAAGAGAAATTTTGGCTTGTTGAAGCTGCTTGGCACCCTGCTCTTATGACCTAAGGTATGAAATAGTCCTTGAAGTATTTGTGGCAGATTGGGATGATGTATAAAGCTTGCGAAAAGCCTAAATAGAAGAATCACAGCATAGTCCCTTAGGATTTTGTAGCAAAATAAAATTCTGTTGGGAAAATCACTATTCTCTTTCCAAGGCTATGGTTTGCTAGGGGCTGATAGAGACTGAGCACCTGAATATAGTACACTAAATGACTGTGAGATCTGAATTATCAGCATAAACTGGGTATTATCTGATTTACCATGCCCTGACATACAGTATGCCTAGCAGAACCTCATCATCAAGCAGAAGTAGTATGTGTACAATTGGGCTTAAACAACTTTATGAGGCACAAGTCAGTTAAATGAGCAGGGGTTGTTCAGTATTTCCAGTGCACTTATTTTTGACATTTTATAGACATTTTTAAACATACAGAAAAAAAGACTTGTCCAGTGAGCATCCATATACCTATCACCTAGATTCTACCATTATCATATTCTTTTATATATATATGTACATATATGTATACATATTTACATTGATATGAAGTCTTGTTCTGTTACCCAGGCTGGAATGCAATGGCACAATCTTGGCTCACTGCCACTTCCACTTACCAGGTTCAAGCAATTCTCTTGTCTCAGCCTCCTGAGTACCTGGGATTACAGGTGTGCAACATCATGCCCGGCTAATTTTTTTGTATTTTTAGTAGAGATGGGGTTTCACCATGTTGACCAGGCTGGTCTCAAACTCCTGATCTCAGGTGATCTGCCCGCCTTGGCCTCCCAAAGTAATGGGATTACAGGTGTGAGCTGCCGTGCCCAACCCATATTCTTATATTTGTTTGTTTGTTTTTTTTTTTGCACATCATCTGTTCATTTTTCTATGTATTTGCAAATTTGTCTTGCTTTTTGGATGCCTTTCAGAGTAATCCACCTATTCCTCAAGACACACCTTTGGACTCTTGGGGTGTTCCTTGTGGCCAGCTGACTGAAGAGGAAAACCTTTAGCCTAGTTTATAGCTGGCACCAGACAATATTCTGTCAGTAGTAAGAAATGAACTCAGCAGCATTAGAGCCCTGCTCAGAGTGGGCCTTAAAGACAGGGGTGAAGAGAAATCTGCCCAATGGGCAGAACTTTATTGGTACATTCTATTTCCTCTTTGCCTAGAAGGAAAATTATGAATGTACAGTAATTAATGAGCAGTGGTTAATGGTCTGGTCAGTCAAACAAGAGACTTGGGAGAAACAGCTCCAGAGAGCAGGGGACAAGGGAGTCTGAGAAAGAGTTCTGGTTTCAGAATGTGAGGATATTTGTGTACAACATGAATACTCACCAGAAGACCTCCACAGGGGATGAGACTCTCAATAATTGAGCAGACGAGATTAGCTACTCTGGATTTCAGTTAGCCTTTTGCCCAGCTTGCACAATGAGTTTATGAACTAAGTGGCTATGACAGCAGAGATGGAGGCTATGCTTGGGCTCAATTCTATGGTGTCTCATCATCAAGGCCAACCTAGCTTCCACTACTGCTGAGTGCCCAATCTATCAGCAGCAAAGACCAATGGTGAGCACCTAATATGGCATCATAATCTAAGAAGACCAGCCACTCACCTGGTGGCAGGTTGATTTTACTGGATTTTTGTCAACATATTGCCCATACTAGAATAGACATTTATTTTAAATATGTATTTGTCTTGCTCACTTACCCAACATGCTTCTGTTTCAAACACCACCCTCAAAATTACTGGATACCTTATTCCTGGCCATGACATTCTGCACAACATTATTTCTGTCTGAGAAAGAAGCAAGGCAATGGGCTGGCACATACAGAAATTGCTGATCTTATCATGTGCCAGAAACAACTGAGTATACAGAATGGTTAAATGGGCTATTCAGACTCAGGTACTGAGCCAGCTGGAAGACAACTGGGGAAGTCAGGCAAGGGGAATGGGTGCTGCAAAAGGTCTGAACAGGTAACTATTAATAATATATGGTGCTGTTTCTCCTACAGTCAGAATTCATGGATCTGGGAATCAAGGGGGTGAAAGTGGTAGTGTTATTTTTAAATATTATATCTAATTACTCATACCATAGTTCAAATGTGTCCACAAAAAGTTCACAAGCAAATAAGAAAAAGAAAAAAAGTTCCCAAGCTGGAAATTTAATTAGTAAATACATTTTAGCAATTAAAGAGGTGATTTAGGCAGGTGCCTTTCAAGGTGATTAGTCCACGAAGGCTCTACCCTCATTAAGGGATTAATGCTGTGATTGCAGGAGAGGGTTAATTTTCATGAGAGTGGGCTCCCGGTAAAAACATGAAGTTCAGAAATTAAAAAAAATGAAAAACAAGAAAATAGAAATCATGAAGTTCAGCCTTCATCCCACTCTGCCTCTTGCATACCTGTCTTCTCATTATATGATGCCTTCCAGCACAGGATGACCCTCACCAGATGCTGGCACCTTGCTCTTGGACTTCCCAGTCTCCAGAACCATGAGTCAAATAAGTTTCTCTTCTTTGTAAATTATCCAGTATGTGGTATTCTGTTATAGCAGCAAAAATGGACTAAGACAACTTACTTACAAAATGTTTACTTCCTATTCTTTCCATTTTTTACTTTATTGATTTAGAGGTCTCTGTACCCAAAGAATTAATGTTTCCACGATTGGACAAAATAAGGGCTCCACTGAATGGAAAACTGAAACTGTCACCTGATCATTTTGTATTATTCCTCATGCACCTGGATTAAGAGGCCCAAAAGGGGATTACCATTTGGCTGGGGTAATTGGTCCAGATTATCAAAGGGAAATAGGAATACTGCTACAAACTGAGTGAGGGAAGAAAATGTCTGAGCACAGGCGAGCCTCTGGAATACTCCCTAAGAATGAAATGTTCAGTAATAAAATCTAGTAGAAGACTACAGTAACCCTATGGTTTGAATCACCCCATGGGTAAAATGGCTCAACTGCTGAGACACAGGCTGAGAAAAAGGGAACATGATGTCCACATTATAGCATTTCAGTAATGTTTCATATTCCTGGCTTGCGCCTGAAATCCCAGCACTTTGGGAGGCTGAGGCAGGTGAATCACCTGAGGTCGGGAGTTTGAGTCCAGCCTGGCTAACATGGTGAAACCCTGTCTCTACTAAAAATACAAAAATTAGCTAGGTGTGGTGGCAGGCGCCTGTAATCCCAGCTACTTGGGAGGCTGAGGGAAAAGTCACTTGAACCCAGGAGGCAGAAGTTGCAATGAGCCGGGATAGCGCCACTGCACCCCAGCCTGGGAGACAGAGTGAGACTCCATCCCAAAATCAAAACCAAAACAAAAACAAAAAAACCCACAAGATTTCTCTCTACATATGCCATATATTAACTTTTATATATTTTTTTCTGATTATAAAAGCATTATAAAAATGAAGCTACTAATGGATAAACTTAGCGTTTAGTGGAAATGACTCATCCAAAGAGAGACTTTGCCACCAGAAGTCAAGGGCAGGTTATGATCAACTTCCCCTCCGCCCACTGAAGCACATGGAGATGCCCCTTATTTTCTGCCCACCTAAGGCCCCCAGGAGCCAGCTGGGAGAGGAAATTAAATGTTCTCCAATAGGCAGACATCTATATCAGCTCCAATGAAATCACATTTATTCCAGTGTTTTATTCAGAATCTTTTGACTAGCCGTTTGATTTGATCTCCATTTATTTCATTCGACAGTGTTAACCAAACACCTCCTTATAAGCCAGTGGCTGTTTTAGGGACTAGGCATGCAGTAGTACAAAAAACATACCAAATCCCTTTTCACACTACCCAGAGAGGAGTCCATACAATGTTATTCTGGCTTGCCATCATAACTTATAGGGAAATGTTCACAATGTCTGGAGTTCTTAATGTTCTGCAAATGAAAGAGGAAGATGTCCTCAAGTTCCTTGCAGCAGGAACCCATTTAGGTGGCACCAACCTTGACTTCCAAGTAGAACAGCACATCTATAAAAGAAAAAGTGATGGCATCCACATCATAAATCTGAAGAGGACCTGGGAGAAGCTTCTGCTGGCAGCTTGTGCTATTGTTGCCATTGAAAACCTTACTGATGTCAGTGTCATATCCTCCAGGAATCCTGGCCAGCAGGCCATGCTGAAGTTTGCTGCTGCCATGGGAGCCATTCCAATTTCTGGCTACTTCTCTTCTGAAAACTTCACTAACCAGATCCACTGGCAGCCTTCTGGGAGCCACATCTTCTGGTGTTTGCTGATGCCAGGGCTGACCACCAGCCTCTCACAGAGGCATCTTATGTTAACCTGCCTATCATTGCTCTGTGTAATACAGATTCTTCTCTGCACTATGTAGATGTTGCCATTCCTTGGAAAAAGAGAGCTTACTCAGTGGGTCTGATGTGGTGGAGGCTGGCCCAGGAAGTTCTGAGTATGCACGGCACCATCTCCTGTGAACACTCGTAGGAGGTCATGCCTGATCTCTGCTTCTACAGAGATCCTGAAGAGACTGAAAAGGAAGATCAGGCTGCTGCTGAAAAAGCCATGACAAAGGAGGGATTTCAAGGGTGAATGGATTGCTCCAGCTCCTGGCTTCTCATTCTGAGGTTGCAGGCTGGTTTGAAGGTGTTCAGGTGCCCTCTGTGCCTATTCAGCAGTTCCCTACTGAAGACTGGAGCGCTTACTCTGCCCCGGAAGACTGGTGTGCAGCTCCCACTGCTCAGGCCACTGAATACATATGAACAACCACTGAACGAGCTTAAAGCTGTTCTTCTACAGGCTTTTAAGCAATGTGGAAATAAAGCTGGTAGAAAATAAACATGATTTTCTAAAATGAACAAACACAAAAATCCCTTCTCATGGAGCTTGCATTCTCATGGTGGGATGGGAGACAAACAATAACTAAATAAATAAAGTTGGGTGCTAATAAGTGTTAAGAAGAAAAATAGAATATGGGCAAGGGCATGGGTATGTTGGGTTATCAGAAAAGATCTCTGATAGATGGAGCATTCTGTGGAAGTATGTTCTAGGCAGTGAGAACAGCCAGTGCAAGAGCCCTGAGGTGGGAGTGTGCTCTGCACATTGAGGAACAGGGAGGAAGCCAGCATGGCTGGAGTCGGGTAAGCAAGGGGCATGAGGAGGAATTTAAATCTGGAGGTATTTCAGTGGAATTCAGATCATGTAGGCTCCTTGTAGACTTTGGTTAGGACTTTGGATTTTATTCTGAGTGTTTTTGAAAACGCTTGTAGCATTTTGAATACAGATATGAAATGCTCTGGTTAATGATTTAGCAGGATCACTATTACTCTCCTGTAGAGAATGATCTTGGTCTTTGACGCAAACCAGTTCCATGCCTCTATATTTCTTCATCCTCAGACATATAAAAATGCATGCTCTCCCCATTTCCTGCAGTAGCAGGGCTTTCATCTCCCTATTTCTGCAGGTCTTCCTCTTAGGCTCATCTTCCACTGTTGACCTCCTTTCTCCAAACCTGTGTTGCAATTGTAGGGAAACTTCCCTGCCTATATAGCCTTTCATTTCATCCCATCCTTAATTAACACCTGTCTTGCCCCTGAGGACAACTGTCCTTGCAACCTCAGCAGGCGAGGTTGACATGTTCCCATGTTTTACTTATTATAAAACAGAACCAGCACTTAGACTTACCTGCTCCCACTGACCCACTGGAAGCTTCTACACTGTATGGTTTAATGGGAAGCAGCACAGACTTTGTAGTCAGACTCTACTTGAATCCCCACTGTACCCCCTCTTACTGGCTGGGTTACATTGATCAAATTATTTAACTTAATATGAGCCTTGGTTTCCTCACCTGTAAAATACATTAGATTATTTCTGTGAAGATTACGGGGACGATGACTGTAAAATATCCATTATAGTGCCTAGCACTCAAAAAACCATAGTCTTCTTTCCTCCTGTCCCTTTCATAACATATGACCTTCCTGTCACTTATCTGTATAGTGTGCAGGTAGAATGTGGCATTTGACTCACCTTCTCTCACAATCCAGACTTCGTCCCCATCTGTGATGGTTAATCTTAGGTCTCACCCTGAGCAGATTAACGAATGCCTAGAAAATTGGTAAAGCATTATTTTGAGGTATATTTGTCAGGGTGTTTCTAGGAATGATTAGAGTATGAATCTGAGTAGACTAGGTGGGGGAAGATCTGCCCTCAATTTGGGCAGGTACCGTCTAATTGGCCAGGGGACTGGAATGAACAAAAACAGAGGAAAGGCTAACATGTCTATCTGCTCGAGTGGGGATACACCCTTCCATTTCTGTCCTTAGAAAACAGAACTCGGGGTCCAAAGTGGCTCCCGGCAGAGGTCATGGTGCTTGCGAAGGCAAGGTCATCAGTTCAAAGCTAACCCGAGCAACCTCATAAGCTCAAACTGATTGGCAAAAAAAAAAAAAAAAAAGAAAACAGAACTCCTGGTTTTCCAGCCTTTGGACTCCAGAACTTACACCAGCAGTCCTCCAGGTTCTCAGACCTTACACCTCAGACTGAGAGGTACACCATCAGCTTCCCTGGTTCTGAGACCTTTGGGCTTGGACTGAGCTATGCCATCAGCATCCCAGGGTCTCCAAGTTGGAGGTGATCTGTTGTGGAACTCATCAGGCTCCATAAGCACATGAGCCAATTCCAGTAAATCTCCTCTCATAAATCTATATAACTATATCTATATATCCTATTGGTGTGTATTGCTGGAGAATCCTAAGTGTTTTTTCTAACCACATAGGAGACTTGTTTCAGGAACTCATTCCTGTAGCCATACCTTAAGTCACTTAAACTCCAGTATTTTAGTCTCTTGTCAAAATCTGCCATCTCTCGATTCATCCTTAATCCATTTTGAGCCATCTTGTGCACTCTAATCTCCAAGTGCTTCTTCTCCAAGGTCTGACAGCTGCATCCCTGGGCTCCACCTCCTTCCTTATTTGACCTGGACTTCCTCCTGTGAATCAGTGAGAGTTTTCGAGTTCAAGCAATAGAAACTGACTCTGGCTAACTTCAGCAGAAAAGGAACCTACTGGAAGCATATTGAGGGGTTTCAAAAAGCAGTTGGAAACCAGGCTTGGAAAAGAGGTGGCATGTGTTTTGTTTGTCATAAGGTAGAAATTTATTTCCTATCCTCTATCAACATCCATGGGAGAAATATGACGTTGGATTTTCCCATGTGATTTTCTTTGGCCACTGAAGCATTGGAGGAAGAGACAATATGCCTCTAGCCTTAGAAGCATTTGTGTTTCCACTCACCCTGAGAGCCTCCATCACAGAAGAAGCATTCTCTGTGTAAGCTGCTAGTCCCAGAAGAATGAAAGACTGGTGGAATAAAGATATTCCAGTCAATTTATACACTGCAGCCTGAAACAGATATCCCCAGGTAACTGGCATATCTGTGAGCAAGAAACAATGTTTTTTATTATAGGTCCCTGAGATTTTATGATTGTTTATTACACAGCATTGCGTGAGTAGCTGGTTGAGAAAGACAAGAACCAAGGATGGGTGGGAGCAGGACCCATGACTAAGCATGCCACAAGAACTAGTTGATAAGGATATATCTCCTTGTTCCTTTGGATGTTGCTACTGCTGGACTCTCAACTGCACCAGTATGAATGTGTTCTAAGCTAGTGCTTTTCAAACTTTAATATGTATAAATCATGTAGGATCTTGTTAAAATGCAGATTCAGTACATCTGGGTGGGCACTGAGATTCTGCATTTCTAAGGTTCCCAGGTGATGCCAATGCTAGTGGCCCCCAGACAGATGGGAATATCCAAATGGGTGAATCTAGGTGACATGTCCATACCTTGGCTGTTAGGTGACAGGTAGAGGGATGACGCTTCTGTGGTGAGTCAGGGAGCACTATACCCCAGTAGTGCTATGCAATAGGAAAAAAAAAAGAGCAGCTAAAAATATTCAAATATCTATTCCAGACTCCCAATTAAATCAATTTAACCCTTCTCTTGCTTTTGGTCCTGCTATTGCACTTGTTCTGCAACTCCTGATCTTGGATCAATTCTCTGGCTACCTTCATCACTTTTACCAATTTATTCATTCATTTAATACATATTTTCTGAATTCCCATAATATGCCAGCCATCAGGGATAATTTGGTAAAAACAGAATAACAAAGATCCTACCTCTTATGGCTTATATTCTAGTAGAAAAAAACAGACATTCTCAAATAAGAAAATAAATAAAATGAATCCAGGGCACTAAATGTGCTATGAAGAGAATATCATGATGAGTAACTAGGAGCAGCTTACATGAGATAAGTTAAGCTGAAGTCTGAATTATGAGCCCAGAGAATAGCTGAAAGAAAAATGTTCAAGGCTGAGGGACCAAGTGCAAAGTCCTGAGGCAAGGAAGTTCTTAGTTTTGAAAAACAGAAAGAAGGCCAGTGAGACTAAAGTTACTGAGCAAGAGAGAGAGAAGTGCTGAATTAGGGTGGAGAAGAAGGCAAAAGCCAAGCACACAGGAAAAGTTAAAGAATTTAGATTTTATTCTGGACATAACAGGAAGCATTGGAAGATATTTAAGTAATAGCAGAAGATGAATCCATATATATTCTGAGAGCTCACTTAGGCCACTGAATGGAGAATAGATTGTAAGGCCAAGAATAGAAAGCAGGAGACCAACAAGGAGAGTGGCAGTGGTCTGGGTGAGAGACGCTTGTTGCCTGGCACCTACCTTTTTTCTGCTGTATGAGAAAGGCACATACTTATCCTGTTTAAGGGTAATCCCTCCACCTGAATCACTCACCATCTTCTCTGCTTTTATTAATTCTCCCTGTTTTCTACCTTCAATCTTTTCCTTCCTCGGGGTCTATCCCCTCAGTATACTAATATATTCAGATCTCTTACATAAAAAAATTAACAGTATTAAGAGGTGGGACCTTTAAGAGATAATTAGGCTTCACCTTCACTTTTTCTGCCATGTAAGAGTGGAGTGAGAAGATGGCTGTCTATGAGAAAGTAGGCCTCGTTAGACGCTGAATCTGCTGGTGCCTTGATCTTGGACTTCCCAGCTTCCAGAACCTCACGAATGGATTAACACCATTATGGCAGGAGTGAGTTAGTTATCTTGGGAGTGGCTTTCTGATAAAACAATGAGTTCAGTCTAATTTCATCTCTCTGCCTCATGCAGTTGCTTCTGCCGTCTGCCCATCCTCTTTGGGATGACCCTTGTCAGGTGCTAGCACTATGCTCTTGAACTTCCCAGCCTCCAGAACAGTGAGCAAAATAAATTTCTTTTTGTTTTATAAATAACCCAGTCTGTGGTATTCTGTTATAGCAGCACAAAATAGACTAAGACACTCACATTCTATAATACCACTCTTTTTGTGTTCTCTTCCTGTCTGGCAGTTTCTTTTCAGTCTGTGTTTTCATCTTTCTCGTCTATACCACTATCTACATCCTGTCACTTATCATCTGAGTGTGGTTTCAGCCTCCTTACTGTGACCCTACCTTTCTCTACCAGAGCCCTCCTCCACATCATTGTGTGCTTTGGTTTCTAAGAAGAATGGGTTAGAAGATATAGTGACATATTGGCGTAATTCAGAAACACAACTATTTGTTTAAAGGATGATGTGTTTGAAGAATGATTCCAGTTTATCTTTAGAAGGCTTAGCCTCAGGAGAAATGAATTTGGTGTTCAGACTGTCCACTTGCAATAAGGAGCTTCTGGACAGCTTAAGTATTTTCAGCTGTAGACACTGGGATTGTCTGCGCCAGCTGATTTAATTACTACTTCCTTTCCTATGCCTATACCTTGGTGAAGAATTACCTCTGAATAAAGTCATTCCTGCATGCAGTCACAGCAGGAACCTCAGGTAAACAGTTTATTCAGAGTAATGGCTCTGCCATATCCACCAATCCCAATCTTGGTTCATACACTATAGAGAACAGCACAATTAACAGTGACATTTTAATCACCAGGCTTAAGATATTTTTATTATAAGGATTGATGAAGTTCCTCAATTCATAATCACTATGGTCTGAACATCTGTGTTCCTCTAAAATTCATATGTTGAAACCCTAACCCCAAGGTGATTGTGTCAGAAGGTGATTAGTGCCTTTATTTTAAAAAGCACAAGAGAGTTCCCTCACTCCTTCCGCCATGTAAGAGTGGAGTGACAAGATGGCTGTTAAGCAGGCCCTCATTAGACACTGAATCTGCTTGTGCCTTGATTTTGGACTTCCCAGCTTCCAGAACCGTAAGAAATAAACATCTGTCATTTCCAAGCCACCTAGTTTATGCTATTTTGTTATAAAAGTCTAAACAGACTAAGAAAATAATTTTATTACTAGATTCATGAAAAATATTCCCAGGGCTGCCTCCAGGGAGATAATCTAGGAGTCCAATACAAGGAAACCTGGTCACTGATTTCTAAGGTGGAACTCTTTGTCTATGTCTCCCATGAGACTGTAAATCCTGAAAGCAAGGAAGATGTAATTTCATTTCTGTTACTGTAGCATCTGGCAAAGTGACTGGCATTTAGTAGCTACTCAATAAATATTTGTTGAGGATGAGAGGCTGAATATACAAACTAATAACAGCTAGATCATGTATAAATAGAACTCTCTCCTGCATGTGGTGGCTCATGCTTTTAATCCCAGCCCTTTGAGAGGTCAAGGTGGAAGGATTGCTTGAGCCCAGGAGTTTGGGGCTGCAGTGAGCTATGATCATGCCACTGCAGTCCAGCCTGGGCAACAGAGCAAGACTCTGTCTCTATTTTTAAAAAGCAGAACTTTGACCCACAACTAGTAGTAATCTTCTTAGGAAATCAACCCATATCTCCAATAACCAGTCCAGGAAGCTAGCCTGCTATGCCAGACTTGTAGGAAGCCAGATTGCTATCTCTAATAACAATCTAAGAAGCCAAACAATATCATTATAATAATCAGCCCCAGATGGCAAGGACTTTTAATAACTGACAGATTCCCTAATTTTTGTCTTTGCTTGCAACTTAGGACTAACCAGAGAAAACCACATATTCTCCCCTAACAACTCCTATAAGATACCCATTTTCTAGTTAGCCCTCCTATAGCTTCCTATGCCAGTAGCCTCCAATCAGGGCACACCTGAAGCCTTCATTTCTTTCCCACTATAAGATTTTCCCACTGCTCTGCCTGCCTTTTTGAGTCTGTCAAAATGCAAATGATAGTGGCTGACGCCCTTGCTATAACAAGTTCAGAATAAATAGCCGTTGCTTGTTCTCATTTGATTAGTCTTCATTTATTTTCACAAGTAAATGCCATTGGAGGCTAGGAATAGACCTGGACCCACCATGGTGACAAGGCATAGCCTTAGGATTGGAAAGGAGTTATGGAGAGATGTAACCCGGATAGCTGTTGCAACCTGACTTTCTCAGGTTATTTGCCTCTGCACTCTCTTTTCCCACTAAAAAAACATGAACCTTCAAGGCGTGGGATTGAAAGCAGAATTTTTTGATAAGAGACAGCCAGCTGACCTCGCAGTTCCCAGTGGCCCCCTGAGCTTCATCTTTCACAGGTAGTAGGCTCAATTTGATGACTCCTGTCACTGCCATGCTGGTCCAAGTTCAAGGGTCCTCAGAGACTCCTTCCCTGTGTTGCCCTTAGCACAGCTCCAGAAAGCTGGAGTTTCACAATTTTTTTTTTAAATTTTGTTTTTATGAGACGGAGTCTTGCTCTGTCATCCAGGCTGGAGTACAATGGCACCATCTCAGTTCTCTGCAACCTCTGCCTCTTGGGTTCAAGTGATTCTCCTGCCTCAGCCTCCTGATAGCTGGGATTACAGGCATGATGTGCCACATGCCCCCCTAATTTTTGTATTTTTAGTACAGGAGGGGTTTTGCCATGTTGGCCAGGCTGATCTCAAATGCCTGACCTCAGGCGATCCACCTGCCTTGGCCTCCCAGAGCGCTGGGATTACAGGCATGAGCCATAGTGCCCAGCCCATAATGTTTTTACAAATTAAAAAATGTCACCAGAACCTGCACTCTGACTTCAGGTAAGTCTATGTTAATAGTAATCTCCCAGTTCATTGGCTCTGGTTCTTCTTCAAATAGGGCCTCATCTCTCCTTTACTCCAGGTAGTGGTGATATTAAAAATATTTAGCACCTGGAATGACTAGTGTATTGACCAATCAAAACAGGGCTCAAGATGTACCAGGCATTAATCCTTTAGTTTTTGGATCCTGGGGATGTCTGGGTGGCAGAAGGGAATGGGGGTGAAGAGAGGAAGGGTGCTTGGGGCATTGGCTGTTTACCAATGAATATGAAAGTATCTCAGTATTTTAACAACCAGAACAGCATTTGTGCACACCAGATGAATGTCAGACCTGCCTTCAGGTATTTCTGGGAACTGTCAGTTTGTTGTAGTCATCATAGGCTGCCATAACAAACAACCTTAGACTGGTGGCTTAAACATTTATTTCTCACAGCTCTGGAGGCTGGGAAGTGTAAGATCAGGGTACTAGCAGACTCAGTGTCTGGCAAGGGCCCTCTTCCTGGCTTGTAGATGCCTACCCTCTTGCTGTGTCTTTACATGGTGAAGAGAGAGCAATCTCAATCTCCTCTCCTTAAAAGGGCACTAATCCCATCACTGGGACTCTACCTGCATGACCTCATCTATATCTAATTATCTCACAAAGGTCCCACCTAAAAACACCATCACACTGGGGGTTAGGCCTTCTACATATGAAGTTTTTCTTTTCTTTTGTTTTTGAGACAGAGTCTTGCTCTGTTGCCCAGTCAGGAATGCAGTGGTGAGATCTCTGTTCACTGCAACCTCCACCTCCTAAGTTCAAGCAATTCTCCTACCTCATCCTTCCACCCCCCAGTAGCTGGGATTACAGGTTCACACCACCACACCTGGGTAATTTTTGTATTTTTAGTAGAGATGGGGTTTCACCATGTTAGTCAGGCTGTTAGTCTAACATGTTAGTTAGTCTTATACTCCCGACCTCAGGTGATCCACCTGCCTCAGCCTCCTAAAGTGCTGGAATTATAGGTGTGAGTCACTGTGCCCTATCAACATATGAGTTTTGAGAGGACACAAACATCCAGTCCTTAACACAGTCTGTCATACACAATGTCCCCAAGCAGCCCAGCCAACAGTCACACGATGGGTGCTGGGCACTGTCACCACTCCAGCAGTGGACAGCCTCTTCTGCAGGTACATTGGCCTCTGCTGAGCATGCATGACTGAGGTTTCTCTTGGGTGGTTTTATCTCTGGAGCACTAATTCCTCCATTAGCCTCTGAAGGTGCTTCTGCTCTTGCCTGAGACTTTATGTTCTTCTATGGATGTCCAAGCTGCCTTGGGCATCTCTGGGCACCACCACCAAAGTCTTACAGCCCTCAAAGTGCCTGGATTTTTCAGATATTTATGGTAAAGTGGGGGAGGAGAATGTCTCTTTTTCCCTTTAAATCTCTTGTGAGAGGAGTACTAAAAGGGCATTTATGTATTTATTCAGTGGACAAATATTGAGGGCAACTATACAGCAGGCATAATTCCAGGTGTTAGAGCTAAAGTGAAAAAGGCTCCCTGCTTTCATGACGCTTACATTCTAGTGGATGAAGACAGAAAGTAGACAAACATATGCAATGTCAGCTAATGACAGGTGTAGGAATAAGGCAGAGTCATGGGTTGGAGAATGATGGAGGAGGTGGAGTATACATGCCGTTCATATCTTAGACTGGATGATCAGAGAAGACCTCTGACATTTGATCAGAAAACAATCAAATAAAAGAGTGAGCAATGGTGGATATGTGGGAACATAGCAAATGCAGACTCTGTAGCAGTGTGCACATTACAGTGTTTTATGGTTTTAATGAACCAGTTCCTTCACTTTTTCCTGACGTCTGCCCTTTGTCTTATGCTTGCCTTGTCACACCCCAATGAAGACATTTTTCTCTATAATTGACAGGATTTTTTCTTCCATCATCTGTTTATCCAGAAACAAAGAGAGAAAAGAAGAAAGAGGAGGAGGAAGAGAAGAGGAGGAAGAAAAGAGGAGGAGGGGAAGAAAGAAGGTGGCAGCAATAACAATGGATGTGGTGGGGGGAAGGAGGACATGCTGCCCTTGCTCCTTCTTTCCTTACCTTTTGGCTCCTGGATGAAGAAAGGGCTGCACCATGAGAGGGCAAGTCCAGTCTGAGCATTCTCTCGGGGCTGTGGGTAAGTTAGATGTAGGGCAATGGGAATCTGCTCAATTTTGAATTGTCTGGCTTTTTTATGTACTCATTTGGTGCAGTTCTGTGATGGGGATAGCCAGGAACTTGTACTATGAGTCCCAGGTATAGGATCCTCTGTTCAAAGTATATGGGCAGGTATCATGCCCCATATAGGCCTCCACCTATCTTTTCCCATCCTCAGGACCCTCAGCTCCTGTCCTGTCTCCTTTGGCAGCAGCATCTTAATACCTGCTGCTACTAGAGGGAAACATCACCAGGAGCACTTGCTTGGCCATAGTAGATTGGTACCAGCAGGCAACATTCCTGTTTCCTGGCACAGTGCCTGGAATCTAGAAAGTACTCAGTAAATCTTTGATCAGGAGGTACTGTGCTTGAGGGTGGAAACCAGAATTCTGGTAACCAGGAATGCATTTCACTCATGGTAAATCTAAAACTGCCAAGCTGGGTGTAGGCATGTGCCTGTAGTCCCAGCTACTCAGGAGGTTGAGGTGGGAGGATTGCTTGAGCCTGGGAGTTTGAGTCCAGCCTGGGCAACATAGTAAGACCTTATGCCGAAAAGAAAGATAAAAATAAAAACTAGTGTAGAACTAGAACTTATATAATTGCTTCCTTTAGTTTAATGTGTCATTGTTCTCAAGCAACACCATATTGGTTTCACTATTCACTGCAACAAGGCAGAGCACACAGCATGGGAGATCATGACGTATCTCCGTATTGGGATGTTACCAGGAGTTACAGGATTTGCCTTGTGTTAGGTGATTTTAGGGGGAAAGTTCAAGAAGCCATTGCTTTTCTATGAATTGGATGCTGTCAAGATGAGGCAGTAATTACATGATTGGACATCCTAATAAATTTTATCTAGACAAAAAGAATACATTGATGGGCTTGGTGTAGTGGCTCATGCCTGTAACCCCAGCACTTTGGGGAGGCCAAGGCGGGTGGATTGCTTGAGTCCAGGAGTACAATACCAGCCTGGGCACCAGGGCGAAACTCCATCTCTATCAAAAAAGAAAAAAAAATTAGCTGAGCATGGTGACATGTGCCTGTGGTCCCAGCTACTCAGGAGGCTGGGGTGGGAGAATCACTGGGGCCAGCGAAGTTGAGGCTGCAGTAAGCCATGATTGTGCCACGGTACTCCAGCCTGGGTGACAGCAAAAAACCCAAAATTACAGTGATGGTAGAGCTATAATTGATTAAAAAAGCAGCAATCAAATTAACCGGAAAAGGGAGGTGTTTGATTTGCACACTAATGTTGTTTTGTCTGGGCTTAGACAAGATTATGAAATGATCTTGTCCTGTCTTTTTTCTTCAGTCACCAAAAGAACTTGTGTGATATTGGTGTTCCGTGAGATTGTTTATGCTCAACAGGAGAGTATCGAGGGATGATGGTGAATGCCAGGCCAGCTTGTGACAACACTGAGGCTTAGTTACCTGTGCCAGACCAGTTGCCAGGCACCCTAGATTTATTTTCTGAGCCCTCCATTTGGTCAAGGGCAGACAAAGTCACGCCGCAGGACCATTAATCTATGATATTCAGATTTTCACTGTTGCTAAATTTATGCTGATCTGGAGAATGTAGTCTGTAGTTGGGTTAATTCTGCCTTCTGTTGTAGGATTTGTTGAATCATATGATATGACAATGGCTGTGGAGAAACTAGGGCTCTGGACAGGATACATCGACCTAGTGCAAAAGAACCAGATACCAAAAACAAAATGATTATTCATCTTTGTAAAAAGTCTTCAAGCTAGGGGCCCAGATTTTAAAATCCTGGCAATGAAAACATGCCCCAGAATCTAGCTGAGTCTGTTTTTAGGGAGCCAGAGGCTTTTCTCTTTTCAGTTTATAAGAATAAATCAAGGGTTGTATGATTATCCATGAAAACTCTGGCTAAGGAATTCAAATTTAAGTGGTTTGTTGAGCTTCTATAGCAGAAGTTGTGCCATCGATGAGGTCTGCTAGGGTCAGAGACCTCTTTTTTGTTGTATTATCTTTGTTGTGGGAATTTCACTTGCAGAGTACACATGAAAAGTGAGTCAGCGATCCCTCCTGCGAGTTCTCCCAAGTAGTCTGTGATTCTGTGCTTGCTTCATTTTGTTGGTTTCTGGGTGTTCTTCTCAGAGAAACACAGTCAACTGGAGGAGTGGTAATTTTAAACACTGGAGGGTCTCTAACAATTAGCTTCAATACAAAGGATAAGTTAGTGTACAAGCCTGATGTTCCCATAAAGAAGTAATACCCTAGGAAAGTACAGACTCCATTGGGAGGATAAGGGCTATTTAGCACATCAGGAACAAGCTAACTTTCTTTCCCTCGAGATAGGCAGCTTTCTTGGATGAAGTTAAACCGGTTTCTCTAAAGCAGGCTGGAATGTTTTGGAAGAGAATGGACTGAGTAGTGAATCAAGAATAGCCCCAATATTAGTTTCTATTCCTGAAGGGCTAAGTTTTTCTCATAGGATTGTAATGACTTCAGGGAAACATTCTGTTGAAGTGGAGGTCAAGGTCCCATTTTTGTAAGACTGAAGTCTGGGATTAATTTTGTGAGGAATGCTTAAGTACCAGAAGTGACCTCCAGAAGAAAATCTACTTTATGAAGTCTATGAAAGCACAGCTATTGAATTTTGTCAACAATTCCTTAAGAGCAGTAGCTATGGTTTCAGAAAAACACTCCAGAGTGTATTTCTTTTCTTTTTTAAGAGAGCGGGTTTCGCTTTGTTGCCCACTGGCATGATCACAGCTCACTGCACTCTTGGGATCCTGGGCTCCAAATATCCTCCTGCCTCAGCTTCCTGAGTAGCTGGGACTCCAGGTACATGCCTCCATGCCCAGCTAATTTTTTTTTTTTTTTTTGAGATGGAGTTTCACTCTTGTTACCCAGGCTGGAGCGAAATGGCGTGATCTCAGCTCACCGCAACCTCCACCTCCTGGGTTCAGGTGATTCTCCTGCCTCAGCCTCCTGAGTAGCTGGGATCACAGGCATGCACCACCATGCCCAGCTAATTTTTTGTATTTTTAGTAGAGACGGGGTTTCACCATGTTGACCAGGATGGTCTCGATCTCTTGACCTTGTGATCCACCCGCCTCAGCCTCCCAAAGTGCTGGGATTACAGGCTTGAGCCACCGCACCCGGCCTGCTAATTTTTTATTGTTTGTAGAGATGGGCGTCTTGCTACATTGCCCAGGTTAGACTCCTGGTCTCAAGTGATCTTCCCACCTTGGCTTTCTAAAGTGCCGGAATTACAGGTATTACCCACTGCACCTGGTCAAACATTGTTTGTTCGTTTGTTTATTTATTTATTTTGAGACAGAGTCTCACTCTGTCGCCAGACACCAGGCTGGAGTGCAGTGGCGCAATCTCGGCTCACTGCAACCTCTGCCTTCTGGGTTCAAGCAATTCTCCTGCCTCAGCCTCCCGAGTATCTGGGACTACAGGCGCACACCACCATGCCCAGCTAATTTTTGTATTTTTTTAGTAGAAATGGGGTTTCACCATGTTGGCCAGAATGGTCTTGATCTCTTGACCTGGTGATCCGAACGCCTTGTCCTCCCAAAGTGCTGGGATTACAAGTGTGAGCCACTGTGCCCAGCCAAATATTACTTATTTTAAGTAGCAGAACATAGAGTCAAAAGTAACAGGATGAAGATAAGGTTTGTCTTCTTGAGAAATCAATTTGTTAATCACAGGTGTCAAAATGCAATAATAAGTAAGATTAGCGGTAGGATAAAAGATGCGGAGGAATCAGAAAATTAATCTTGTCCTGTTGTCTTGGGTATGAACTGCCCATTTCTGCAGTCAGCAGCTTCTGGGGAAGTTTCATGCATCTTAAGTTTGAGGTCTTCCAATAGAATGGGATGTCCAGTAGCCAGGAGAAAATGATGCATGTCTTTTTAGTTGTATCATATGAATCCAAGGATCAATGTCTCATAGTTTTACTGCTGGGTCAGTTGGTGACAGTACCTGATAATTTTTTTTTTTTGCATTGAGGCTCAAGGAAAATTATTTTCTAATATTTTTCAGAAGACCAAATCTCCAGATTTCAGAGGCTGCTTAGGTGGGTGCTTTGAGAGTGCAGCTTCTATCTACTGATAAAGCAGGAGTTCTCTTATGAGTCCCCTGCAGCACTTAGTGACAGCAGCTTATACTAGTAGCATCTAGTATTGGAAGTAATTCACAAATACATGAGGAAGCCTGTTATTACTCAGAAGGCGATAACTTATGGGTCTTAGAATGGATTGATCTTAATTGCCATCAAGGCAAAAGGAAGTACTTTGGACTCTGGAAGTTAGAGAGCTCTGAAAACTATTTTTAGAATTCTATTAGTTCTCTTTATCTTTCCTGAAATTTGTGGATAAAAAAGATAGTGGAGTTTCTAAAAAGGTAAAGCTTTACAGTTATTTAATAACAGTATCAGTGAAATGTGTGTCCTCCTACTGAAGATACACATTGAGATTTCCCATTCAGGAATACAAAATTAAGGATTTTTTTTCTACCACTAAAGTAACAGCTCTCCAACAAGGAGAATCCTTAAACCCCTTAAGAATAAATAATAACCCTCATATAATAGTTATTTGGAGGTGTTCAACAGAACTCCAAGACTGGGCTCCAGTTCATGTTGTACCTTTATGGTTTTGCCAGGATTGGGTCATTGAAGTAGGTAAGACATATATCCTTGGCAATACCCCTGAAATTGCCCCACTAACATTGGTTCAGCATCATTATCATTCTACTATTGTGGATGAGACCTTTTGCTGGACTCCACTTTAAATATGACTATTTCCTTAGGTAACAGTGTAGCATCTCAAGATTATTTTCATTATTTATTATTTTTAAAATTTTAATTAAAAATTTTCCCCATAGGTTATTGGGGCATAGTTGATGTCTGGTTACATGGCATCTCAAGAGTCCCTAACTTGCCATTCATTTTGTAGGGGTTCCTGAAGCGGTCAGGAAATCTTACTTTAAAGCTCTCCAAAGTCACTGACAAACCACCAAAACATATGTACTGTCAGTATAACTATTGCTCTGTTATCCTTTATCAGCTGGTAGGTCTAGGCCAGGGCAATTCCTACACTAACAGAGTACGTGGGATGGCATACTGAGCCACTTACTAGGTAAGAAACTTTGTGCAAAAAAATATTTTTTGAGCCTCAGATTCTTCAGACATGCAATAGTAATACTTGTCTCAGAACCGTGAGCATCTAATGATTTATTGTACAATAACCAATCTATCACTAAGTCTTTCACATTGATTATTTCCTTTAATTATCACAACCATCCTATGCGATGGCCTATTATCCTCGTTTTATAGACATACAGTTACACCCCTTTAAGTTGTGACGCGAGGATTCAACCTCCGATCTTTCTGATGCCGGATTCGGCGCTCATTTCTGAATCCCTCTAACAACCCGTGACACTTTTGCACCGTTAGGTTCAAGCCCTTACCATACAGCCTGACCTGTTAGGAGGCATTCAACCTTTAAAACTTTGTAATTTGCAAGTGGGATTATAACGGGTTAGTTCTAGAGTCTGATCTCTTCTCTGTGCAGGGGCGAAACTCCATCCCAGCCGAGAACTAGACTCTACTCCCTTGGGGCCGTCTGCGCCCCCCGGGAGCCGCCCAGTCCCCAGTTTATTGTGAGCTTACAGTGCTGTGCGCCAGAAGCCGGCAGGTGACGGCGGCGAAGCGGCGGCGTCGCCTGTCGCAAACCCCCGCCCTGGGGCCTTCCCGCCGGGCTCCGCGCGGCGTCCTTAGGAACGCGCGCGCGGTCTTCCAGCCCCGCCCCGGCGGGCGGTACTGCGCCTAAGCTCTGCCACAACCGCCAGTAAGGTCTCTCCCCTCCTTCTCCCCCTCCCCTCTCCTCCTCCTCCGTCTCTGCAGCCCAGAGCGAGACACCTTCATGGAGCCCGAGGACCTGCCATGGCCGGGCGAGCTGGAGGAGGAGGAGGAGGAGGAGGAGGAGGAGGAGGAGGAGGAGGAGGAGGAGGATGAGGAGGAAGAGGAGGAGGAGGAGGAGGCTGCGGTGGTGGCGGCGACGGTAGAGGAGGAGGCGGCGAACTTGGACGCTGTAGTGGTGGTGGAGGAAGAGGCGGGGCGGGAGTTGAACTCCGACTCTCACTACGAGCACCAGCATGTAGAGAGTACCGACGACGAGGAGGACGAGGAGGCCAAGGCCTGGCTGCAGGCGCACCCCGGCAAGATTTTGCCTCCGCCGTCGCCTTCGCGGCACCGCTACTGGGAGGGCGAGCGGACCTCCCTGGAGAAGGTGAGGCAGGCCGGGGAGGGGTGTGGAGCCGCGGCGGGTTGGGGTGGAGGCTAGGCCCCGAGCGCTCCGCCCGCCCGCGGGTCGCGCCGCCTGACGGAGAAAACGCGCGCGGCTGAGGCTCGTAGGCAGCCCCGACTCCAGCCCAGGTGCCGGCCGGCTGCTCCGAGTCTCCCAGGCCACAAGCAAAGACTTCTCGTTTCCTCTCCCTCGGTGGGTCCTGGGCCTTTTGAACTCCCACAGATGTTTAGGGGAGCCTGCATTCCCCGTGAGTGTGGGTGAGAAACGCTGACACAGGAGCAGGGGTGTAGGACCGGAGCGAGTGGTTATCTGGGGAGTACCCTGTTGGGGAGACAGTGAACTCATTAGCTTGGCTGAATTGCAGGACTCCCCTGAGGGAGTAGCGTGGATAACGTACACTGCGCGGTCAGTTAGTCTGGAGAGGCTCCCCGCAGTTTTTCCTCTTTTGGACCATCATTTGTAGCAATAAAGGGGTTCCCCAGGGCTTGGAATGCAAGAAGCTTGTGATGCGGCTCCGAACAGTCCGGAAAACTAGAAAGCACAAATAATACACAATGGAGAAAGCCGATTTCATGGTGGGCCCGCGAAGATAATTTTGAAAATAACTCTCCATTTTATTTACTGCCCTTACTCCGTTTTTGAATTTACTACTTTTCGAGGAACACGACCTGCCCTGTTCAGTACAGTAGAGAGTGGCTACGTGTGGCTCTTTACATCTTATTTAAAGAGAGGACTATTACAGTTTTGAATAAGAGTTAAAAATAAAATAAAAAATTTTGTGCCTTTGTTCTTATCACTTTTCAAGTGCTGGGCAGCCACACTAGGCTAGGGGCTACCATATTGGACACCGCAATAGATAATAGAACAGTTCCATCATCACAAACAGTGATGGTGTAGACTTTTGTTACTAGTTGTTGTTTTGCCTGGTGAATATTCCAGGGTTACTTAATTCATTGAACATGTATTTTAGAATTCACCATGTGCACTCATTGTGCTGGATGCTAAGGAAACCTTGGTGAACCCAAGCATTTTTGGTCTCTGCCTTCCTTGTGTACATGGTCTAGACAGGGAGGCAGACAGATTTCAGATGATCACATAAATAAAAGTAAAACTGATAACGTGCTAATATTTTATGAAAGCATAAAGTAAGATAATCTGGCCTTGTCAGTGAAGCTGGAAAAGCTTTCTTGAGGTGGTTATGGTAAAGCTGTTATCTGAAGACTGTTTAAGGTTAATCAGGCAAAGCGGAAGGAAAGAGCCTTCTAGTTGAGGGAAAAACACATGAAAAGGTACTGTTGGTGACAGAGAACATGGCATTTTCCAGGAACCAAAAGCCGTGTGGGTGGAGCACAGACTGCAAGGCTTTGTGTGCTATGCCAAGGATTTAGGGGCTTTATCCTTGGAGCCTTGGGAAGTCTACAAAAATACTTGAAACAAGGGGATGTATGATAAGATAGGTGTTTCAGAAAGATCAGCTGTATAACAGAGTGTAGCAACAGCTGTGATAGCAAGGTGGGTTGGGGAGCAGTAATCATTGGTCAAGGGCATAAATTAGGATGCCCTTGCAGCATTGCCAGGCAAAAGATGATGAAATTTTGGAATAGGGAAGTGTTGGTGGATACAGGGAAAAGTGGACTGATTTGAGAGATATTTAAGAGGCAAAATCATCATACTTAATAATGGATGGGATGTGAAAGGTGAAGTAGCCAGGTGTTAGGTTATTGTTTGAATGGTTGTGCTAATATTAAATTATGGCCAGGTTTATGGTGAGGGTGGTGGCCATGAGTGAGTGGTGGAATTGGTTGGGTGGATGTTAAGATTATGGGTTTGGTTTTGAAGATTGAAGGAGAAGGCTGGGCTGGAGATTTCAAGTTGTAAATCATCTACATAGAGACCATAATTAAAGCCACACTCGTTGACTAGGTCTCCTAACTTTTATTTTGTCCTGCGGCTTCTTGCTTGAATAACTATTAATATTCAAATCTTAAGGCCTAGAGGAGGAGTTTTTTTAAAAAAAATGTAATTTAATTTTAGATTCAGGGGTTACATATGCAGGTAATTAACATGGATATATTGCATAATGCTGAGATTTGGGCTTTTAGTGACCCTCGCACCCAAATAGTGAACATTGTACCTGATATGTAATTTTTCACCCCTCCTCTCCTCCTTCTGGAGTCCCCAGTCTTTATGTCTGTGTGTACTCATTGTACCCATTCTGTGTCTCTGTATCCATTGTACCCGCTTGTCTTATCAGTGAGAACACATGGTATTTGATTTTCTGTTTCTGAATGATTTCATTTGATACCCTCCAGACTCCATTCATGTTGCTGCAAAGGACAGGATTTCATTCTGTTTATGGCTGCATAATATTTCATGATGTATGTGAATACATACCACATTTTCTTTACCTGTTCAGTTGTTGATGGACACTTAGGTTGATTTCATGACTTTGCTATTATGAATGGCGCTGTGATAAACATACTTGAGCAGATGTCTTTTTTTTTTTTGGTTTGGTTTTTAGACATGGGGTCTAACTGGTCTAGAACACCTCCACTCAAGTGATCTTTCTGCCTTGGCTTCCCAAGGTCCTGGGCTCAGATGTCTTTTTGATGAAATGATTTATTTTCCTTTGGATAGATACCCAGTAGTGGGATTGCTGCATCAAATGATAGTTCTGTTTTGAGTTCTTCAAGAAATCTCCATACTGCTTTCCATAGGAGTTGAACAACTTACATTCCCAACAACAGTGTATACATGTTCCCTTTTCTTCTTATCCTTCCCAACATCTATTTTTTGACTTTTTAATAGTAGCCATTCTGACTGGTGTGAGATGGTGTCTCATTGTGATTTTAATTTGCAATTCTCTGATGATTAGTGGTGTTGAGCATTTTTTCATGTTTTCTTGGCTGCTTGTATATCTTCTTTTGAGAGGTGTCTGTTCACATATTTGCCTGCTTTTTAGTGGGGTTGTTTTTTTCCTGTTGATTTGTTTGAGTTCCTTATAGATGCTGGATGTTAGACCTTTGTCAGATGCATAGTTTGCAAATATTTTCGCCCATCCTGTACGTTGTCTGTTTCCTCTGTTGACAGTTTATTTTGCTGTGCAGAAGCCCATTAGTTTAATTAAGTTCCATTTGTCTGTTTTTATTTTTGTTGCATTTCCTTTTGAAGTCTTAATCATAAACTCTTTTCCTAGGCATTGTTCTAGGATTATTATAGTTTCGGGCCTTACATTTAAGTCTTTAATCCATCTTGAGTTAATCTTTGCATATGGTGAGAGATAGGGACCAGCGGAGGAATTTTTAAGTTAACCTACTTTTACTAAAACCAATGTGAGAAAATTATTATCTGTTTAATAGTGAACTATCTTTTTATTGTTGTTCTTCCCCACCCCGACCTCCTGATGAAGTAATGCTCTGTCATCCAGGCTGGAGTTCAGTGACATGATCGCAGCTCACTGCAACCTCTGCCTCCTGGATTCAAGCAATTCTCCTGCCTCAGCCTGCCAAGTAGCTGGGATTACAGGCACCCACCACAATACCTGGCTAATTTTTGCATTTTTAGTAGAGATGGGATTTCACCAGGTTGGCCAGTCTGATCTCGAACTCCTGACCTTGTGATCTGCCTGCCTCAGCTTCCAAAGTGCTGAGATTACAGGCATGAGCCACCCTGCCCAACCCCTAATAGTGAACTATCTATGGGTAATAGAAAATCTTGCTTCTGAGAGCCCAGAGTATTTTCCTCCTCCCCCAATTTTTTTTTTTCTGAGCGAAATTAGATATTTTCTTATTTAACCTGAGAATATATGATAATATATAGAATACATAGATGATTATCTGTATTAAAGGTAGATTTACAATGATATGAGTATTAAGATAATTTTTCCTTTAGTTCACTAGCATATTGAAACTTACTGGCATAGGTTGGAAAGTATTTAAAGGAGAAAATGCTTAATATGTTTCTTGCTAGAAATTTATGAACTATGAAATTCTTAGACATCTGATGCAGTGTATTTAGAGGATGAGATCAAATAATAGGAAACATTAATTTCATCCGGTTTACTCTCAAGTTAAATGACAAAACTGTGTTATTCAGTTTATTCTCACATATCTCCCTAGATAATAAGAGGGTTAAGGCAGTGATGAAGTTTGTAGTCCTGTTATTTAGGCTGAGTTGAATTATGGTACTGTTTAAATTTGAAGCAAAATATGACCAGTCTTACAACTAAGTTTTTTAAAGACGGAAGTGAGTGACTTAGAGCCTTATGTTGTTTTTATGCTGGTCCTACAGACCATTCAAACACCTCTCCTTGTAATTCCTCAACCTGAATTTCTGAATTGT